ATCATCGTCTGTTTTGTATACAAATAAATTGGCACTCAATCCTAAATCACACAGTAAACATAGGTACGAGTACCTACATGCTGAAAATTTAGCGTTTAAGCATTAAATATTAATGTGGAGATTTTTATTTTATTTTATTTATTACATTACTGTCCTATGGATTCGCACTACATAGATAAATATAGAGTAAATTGACACATGTATATTTTAGGTATTGTAACTAAAATCTAAGCATTGTAATGGGAGCAAGAGAGATAAACAACTTATTAGGACAGGACAGGACTGGAGATTTTTATCACTGAGAAACTCTTAGATTATAAAATGCCTTATTTTGTAAAAGCTTTTTTAGTAATCTAACAAATTTACTAAATTTATTTTCAATTTGTATATATAATGGTAGTTTATTATAAATGAATATTAACATTGAGTAAGGGCCAGAGTTATATATGTAGTACTAAATTGGATTTTAAATTAACCGAGTTGTTTTGATGACGCAATTCGTAGCGACGAGGCACGGCACCTAGTGTGATATATGAGTGGGGATATTTTTTGACAAAATTGCAAATTTTCAATATGTAAATACAAGGCAAGGTCAGTATTTTTAAATTTTGCAAATGAGATATATAAATCTCAGTTTATTTAATATTAATCAATATCCTAATACATTTTATGCATACATAGCTAAATGATGAACATTTTAGTTATATACAACGTAATTATGGATTTATTGATGCATTTTATTTTTTGATAAAGTACATTATTTTTTATGTTTTTATTGTAACTGTTATTAGTATATGCCAAATAAATAATTTTTTATTTCTTCCAAATGTTCAAATGTAAACAACCAGAAATGTCCATCTGCATTTAGAAGAGATGATTTGACTTGTCTACTATAGCTTAAGGTGTCAACTGTTGATGAACATTGTAAAGGTAACATAAAAGCGGTTCCTATGAAATTGGACTACTGAATAATACCTAACCGTAAGCCGAGGGAGCCAACGGAACTAATAAATTTATAATTCGGAGTGAGCGAATCTCATCGCGTATGATAATGGAAAGTCAACGACTGTTCCATTGTATAGGGTAACAAATGGCGTCTCTAATGTTTAATATACTATTGTCATAATTAACATCACAAATGACTGTGACTTTTAGATAAAGGAATCTTAGAAGGTTTTATGGTATTGTCCCATTTTTCTATTTAAGCAGTACGCTGAAGGCCCCAACTATTATGGCCTAGCTTATGCTTGGTTTATCCCATAAATGACAAACAATTGTATCTCATAAAATTACATATATGTTCGTAATATATTTCAAAGTAAATTAAAAATTTATTATCAACTAATTCATAATCTTGGTCGTTTGTTTGTTACTTCTTTTGCATTTAGCAATTAGCAGTTTCATAGCTATAGTTTGTAAGTTTATGATTTGTGAAAAACTTAATGATATTTTAAATTCCTCTTACAGGGGAAGGCTTATGTTCAGCAGTGAACAGTTACCGGGTGATATCATGATGATGAGTGATATTTTGTTTTTATACAAGCATCTTTTGTTTTTCATGCTAGCTAGAGGCACCGGCTTCACACGAATGTACTAATAAAGATAATGAAAGCAAATCTTAGATTTGTTAAAAATTTTCTTTTTTTTTTTACTCGTACTTTTTTATACAGAGATTTATTGAGAAACTTTTACTTTTTCCGTACGATATTTCAAATATTTTCTTCATAATAACCTTGTTCTGATTATTACAAATACAAGGAAAAAGAATTAACCTAATCGGTACAGCCGTTTTGAAGTATTGAATGATGGATTCATACATTCAGAAATTGATTATATTATATAGTAAGGCAAGTAAAAACATCACCTAGTCACGCGAACTAGAACACAGTTGAAAACTAGTTTCATATAAATTACAAATAAAATAGGAAATATCTTTAAATGAACATCATATATTATTTTCCTATTCATTCATAAAACTCTCTTTGAACGATCGTTTAAATTGTTTGTTGGATAAACAAATTAATAAAGAGGACCTATTTATTTTTAGGTGTTACATTCTTTATAGGTTCTTACTCAAATTGGAAGTAAAGAATTTTTATTAGTGTGGTCCAGTCAACCTCTATAAAAACAAACAGACAACTCTCATATTTTATGCGGTTAACTACTGAACCGAATTCATTGGAGCTAAACAATAAATGAGTGGGTTTTTATGAGGGCGTCTAATACTACTTAGGTAGTTACTTCACCATTTTGTAGTTAATTAAAACAGGTTTGCTCTACTATTATTGACCTATTATTAACGATTCTGATAGATAGTTTTCAATAATTGTTTTTAACTCTTTATATTAAAAAAAATCGGAAACAGGAACGCTTTATAGTTAAGAAGAATTTTTAATGGACTTCAAAAAAGAAGAAGGTTCTATTTCTCCAGCAGGCTACTGATTTTTTTTATTTTCATCTTTGTCCTTCATTAACATTAATTAGTTCAGTTAGATTAATATTATCGTTTGATTTTAGACTATTTGATTGTTTTTATTACTCTGTATACCGAAATAAATGAATCATACTTAACTTGTATACAAAGGGTACCCAAAAAAAATCATATCTAAGTATTCCTTTTGTATTGCAATGAATAGTCAAAGCCGGGATTTAGGTATCGTTATCTCATACAGTGAGGCCATAAAATTGACATTACAGTCCACTAATGTTTCGCTCGCATTAGACACCATTAAATATTACGAAACGACACGACATAGGCCATATGCATTCTAAGATTGAAAGAGGAATTTCGATACACGGAGCTGTGAAAAAACTATTTCCACCATCTCTCCTGCTGTTACTGTTACACTCGTAAATCCAACATCAAAAGAATTATCATTAATGTTGAAAAGCTCTTTGCTCACTGAAGATATACATTTATTTTTAAAATTAGTATATCATAGAAATATGACTAATCGATAACATATCTTAATTGAGTTTAATTTGACATGCCGGTATCTGATAATTTCAATTTCTGTTTAATTAGCCGGATGAAGAGTGAATAACTAATGATCTTTTAATAGTTTGACAAGTTCATTTATTTTTATTAAGTATATATTTCTATGCCTCCTTTCTCTTTATTTTATATGAAACATTTAAGAAAATCAAAATAAAAGTCACGAACTGAAATCATCTAAGATAACAAAGATAGGCAACGTATGAATATGTATAAAAATTAATATCATACGATATTTTACATCGGTTCTTTCCTCTTTTAATTTTTCAAGAAAATTAGGAACTACCTAATTCCTTGTAGTAATAAAGAATTAAGTTGTCCGTAATTTTCTTTTTTGTCTTATTAATTATTTATACTAAACAGAGATTTAGATTAAATAAATTTTAATAGCTTTCAAATCGTCTAGTCGGCTATTATATTGGTAATAAAATCTTAATACTCAATCCAGTATTTCATGTAATTGTATTGTTATAAAGACAATAAATTCAAACTAAATCATTCATTTATACAATATCATTACAATTTACTTAATGTTCCCTATGTTAAAATAAACTTTATATTGCTGTTAAAAAGCGATTACATGTAAATTCTACTGAGAATTTAGAACTAATAAATCTGTGCTAGTCCATTCAAGAGAAATACTTTTATCTATTTAAAATTATCTCAATTAAAGCAATAGCTATGAATACCTAACCATATTTTGCAGCACCGCTTTCGATATGCTGGTATCAATCCACAATAACCGTGAAATTGTAGATTGGTGCACTGACAACTTAATCCTTAACGTACCAGTTCTCGACACATGCACAACATGAGTTTCCGTGACTAATCTGCTCTCGTGTTAAATAAACTGAATGGATTATCCATTTCAAGCGGTTTAATTTCTTAGTTGCAATAAAACGGCTTTGAGTGAAAAGCATGCGATAGATTCTTATAATCTGTTGTAGGTTCTGAAAAATACGTGCATTTATATACTGGTACATTACTAGTAATCTCTAAACTAGGAGTAAATAAGAATGTCAATCTTTTAGTATTTTTGGACATTTTACATCAAAGTATAAAACATTGCCTGCTATATTATATATCGTCATAGTCGTAGAATACTGACGGATCTATATATGTAATCTTTGTCAGATCCGTCAGTATTCTACGACTATGACGATATATTTTACTTACAGAATAATTTATATAAAAATGTAACTTTGGGAATTCTTTTTTCTATATCAAATCCCTGAACTGCTTAAATATAATTCTTACAGGACAGAACTCCGGAATCAGGGATGTTTTTATACTACTACTATGGTGGCGAACAAGCATACGCCCCGTCTGATGGTAAATAGGATTATCGTAACCTATAGATGTCCACAGATGTCACACGTTCGTTGCTGCCATTAAATTGCGTTGTTTTTTTTTATAATTTGCGCGAAATAATAGGAAGGCTATAGATAAAACAATTCTGCTTAAAGATTTTATTTTATTGTATTTAAAGTATAAAAATTTATTGCTTATTAAATTAGTTTTAAGGTAATCAACAATAAACAATACAAATAATTTTGAAACATGATATATAGCTTATATTATACAGGTACTTTCACGCGTATAGAATAATGCAAAATGGCTCAAAGCTCAATGTGGATTGTATTGGAGTAGCCAAGACTAATTTTTTTAAATTTGATATTATCATTATTATTAATATTGTTATACGTGTATTATTATGCAGGATTAATTATTATTTATTTATAAATTATTGCTGACACTTCTCTCAAATACATCCTAATATACCTTCTCTCTTAGTGTTATATTCGAAACGGTAAAAACACTTCACTGTTACTACCATATTATTGTATTGCCAGAAATGAAGATTTCAAACTTAAAGATGTTGACACTTTAGCTTTTTATATCACAATTTATTAAGACTATCTTTTCATCTCCACTTCTGAACACGAGCCTCTCCCCATAGGAGTTACGAAAGTATCTTGCTTATCTCCTTGACTATTGTTCACAGGTAGTCGGTCGTGAAAGCGTGCTAGCATCGGCAGCTACTCGAGATGTCCGGTGCGGCCGGCGGCTAGTTTCTGGTCTTTTCACTCGCCCTAAGTTGCCACTCGGATACACATACGTGACGACGGTACCACGCGGCGCCTGCCGCCTCAACGTCTCAGAGATACTGCCCAATGAGAACTACATCGGTTGGTATTCACTGGAAACCCATAAGTGCTCGTATTAATTAACTGTAGTTTCAATTCTTTGTTATCATTATATCTGCAGAGTACAACCAACTACAATTACTAATTTTGTGTTAGTTAATTAATAAATAAATATGATTATTTCATTTACACTGTAAAGCATCATTGTATATGCATTAAGACTTTTGACATTGAACATTGCATTAAAAAACTAATTCTACCACTGACATGTGTGGAACAATAAATTAGACCTCAGTGAAGAGTGTCAAATAGTGCTATAGTTTTCTGAGTCTTAAATATGTTAAGATACTCTGTTCATGTCATACAACTCGTATAATCAACGATTTTCATTTAATAAACCGCGTCCTTGTTTGTTAAATGTAATACGCTGCTCTTCTTCTACTTCTAAAAAAATGTTTGAGTAACATTAATTAATCGAATACTTGATAGAAACTTGTCAATACTGACACAAATACTTGCCAGAGCAAAAGGTCGACGTTGAATTGAAATTACACAGCTGACAGCGCATCTCTTCAATAGAGTCGCCTACGCTGCAAATTGAGAGAGCGCGTTAAGTGAGAGGAGTCCTCTTTCCAATTGCCCGTTAATTATTTGTATGACGTAGTATATACCTTTGCGGCATTCTATCAATTAACACAATATACTAAGATAAGCAATTTACCTAATCTCAATATTTTTAGCGTTAAAAGTAACGAATGGCTCGTACATTGTAAATGGGGATTTCGCTGTAAGCGCGCCAGGAACTTACGACGCAGCAGGCGCCCGATTCATCTACACCCGCACAGGTGGACTCGATAATATATTCACATCGGGACCTATTCATCATCCCATCGAGATCAGAGTAAGATATCAATGAGAAACAATTACTGATTTCTAATAATAATTACATTTCTATACTCAAAATTGTGCATTAATTTTAGGTACTCTACACGCGATCGAGTGCAAACATAAAATACGAATTTCTAACTGATTCAGCATCTGATGAAAGTAATGATATACCGACAGCAAGTAATGAAGTACCACATCATCAAATGCAAAGACATCATCGACATCATAACTCCGATCCTCTTAGACGAGATAATGAATCGAAATCTGGAACTTCTCTAATGAAGCATCCAGATTTTAAAACATTAGAAAGTAAATCTCAAATCGATAGCAATGTTATCGGTGAAAGAAAATTTGTTTGGAAGATATTAACTTATACACCATGTTCGAGGAGCTGCGGAGGTGGACATCAAATAGGCAAATTTAAGTGCGTCGAATTAACAGAAAAGGGTGATAGAGAAGTGGCCAGAGTGTATTGTAATGGTACACCGCCACCGTCCCGTAGACATAGCTGTGGAAATGCACCGTGTCCTCCAAGATGGAGAGCGGCTGCTTGGGGAGCTTGCCCTGTTTGTGGTCCAGCTATACGAACAAGAATCGTTGGATGTGTTCAAGACCATGCTAGAGGAATCATTAAGGTTAGTTGTAACATTGTACATATCTACATACGTATGTATATCGCACTAGCTGTATCCCACAAATTCGCCCATGGCCATATTGTGATATTAAATAGATTTTCCTAAAGAAATAAGTTATCAAATATAAAAAGAATTTTTCAAATCCGACTAATAGTTCTAGAGATTAGCGGTAGAGATAAGCTTTTCCACTTTCCTTTCTATTAGTATAGATATAAAAACGAGTACAGACCAATACCACAATTTTTTTTACTTTTTAGATAAGCGACCAAAAATGTCCCCTGCCGATGCCTCCTAGTAGCGAGCCGTGTGACATTCCAAACTGCGACGGCACTGCTGTGAAATCCGGAACACCAAGACTTGATGCTCGACGCAACGTACGACCGAAAGATCGCACAGACACGTTCCGAGATGGACCTGTTATTTCTCTTGATAATAACGTTTCAGAAAACGATATCACTCCTTCTTTATCTACAAATTATAACTTCAGTGCCGCTGGTGGATGGTTATATACAGAATGGTCCGAGGTATGTATTTTAATACATAATAATTTCTAATATTAAAAAGAAAATTCCATAAAATTTATAAATGTGATATTTTAATTACATATTTATGTACAGCCATTTGGCTTTGAATGACATTTGGTGTACAGATAAACCATAACCTAATTTACGTAGGTAAAGCCATCGACTAACTTAATATTTAATCAATTTTTATCCTTAATTTTGCTACTTTACTAATATCTTCGTATTTGTTACCATGCTACAGTAAGAGAGTTTTTTCCAGTGTGTGGGCTGGTGCGTCGGTGGTGGGGTGCAGTCCCGCGGGGTGCGTTGCGCTGATCCAGCTGGATGTGCTGCCCACAGTGCTCCGGTTTCCACACAGGCTTGTTCACCGAGGAAACACTGTGACGCACAGTGGTTCACCAGTAAATTTTTACAACATTATTTTGACTTGAACAGTTAAAAAGAAAACAATAGAATACATTTGTATAAGTATCTTTTGATAGGAAAATTACAACATACAGAGGATAATACATATATTTCTTTTACATGCAACTTACAGTTTTTTTTAATACCACAGAGGTAGTAAACAAGTATATAGCCTGTCTGATGGTAAACAGTTACTGTAACCTATGGAAGCCTACAAAAATGCTTGCGACACTAAAGAAACTAAAAATCTTTTGTTTTGTTTGAAATTTGTATCACAATAGTTTCCTAATTTTATTTAAATTCTTACGATGATAAATAATAATTCAATCAAACTAGACAACTAGTCATTAAACTAAATAGATAGATACTTTTAACATTTGTTTTTATATCATTAATAATGTTTTTAAACTACAATAGTTTTACTTCTAATTTTACTTCTTCAATTCAAATATGTTCGGCTAAATATAGGTACGTAAATTCGATATTAACCTTGTATAACTATGACAAATCTTTTGTATCAGGTGCATGGTCTGCATGTTCAGCGGAATGCGACGGCCGCCAAGTGCGAGGTGTTATTTGTATAGGAGGCAATGGGAGGAGGCTACGAGACTCCTCGTGTAGAGGACCTCGCCCAGAGACTGAGAGGGCTTGCGGTGAGGCCTGCCAGCCTTCATGGTACTTGAGCGATTGGAGTGAGGTATATCGCTATTATAAAAATAACTATTATACTTCATTATTTTCCCTATTTAAATAGTAACAAAGGAAAAATATAAAATGTTTTGTATATTTAGTAATTAATCTTCCCATAATTTTTTATAGAAATAACCAATAATTAAAATAAAATATTATTTATATTTTGCATATTATAATTTTTATCACTTTTATATTAAAGTGACTAATTAATTAATTTATTTATTTATAGGATTACGAACATAAGATACAGCTAAACATTTTAATACAATACACTGATAGATTAGATCTTACTCTTTTTACATTTATAGGCAACCACAGCATGCCTTGTGTTTGATAAACATTAAAATATAATTAAATTATTAAATGTCATTATATAAGTGAAGATATTAACAATATGAATAATAATATAACATAAATAATGGAAACTGCATTTAAATTATTATAAATTATAAATAAATATAAAGTAATCTCATGATTCTTTACTAAAATATACTAAGCTGCATAGGCAGTATATATCGATATATCCAGTATACAATAGTATGGATTCGTTAAAATGTTACATTGCTGTGAGCTACATGATGTTTAATTCACTTACCATAAATAAATATAATGGTAATATGTAAAAAACTTGCATAGAATTTAACAGCCAAATCTTTTGTGAATACTATGTCATATATGTGGTTACATCAACTCTTGTTTGCGCATATTACAACAGTAAGTCTATAAATTTCCCTGACAACTCATTAGGAATTGTAATCATAAACATATTAGTCATTTTTATTATACTTTGTATGATAATTTGTTAAGAACTTAATTTAAAATATGAAATACTACAGTGCCATGGACCATGCGAGGCGGGAATGCAATCTCGGACAGTGTGGTGCGCGCGAGGTGGTGTAGAAGGCGCCACTGGAGCTGCAAGGGATTCGGAGTGTGCTGGTCGCAGGCCGCCAGCGAAGCGATCCTGTGTACCAGCACGCTGTACCACCAGCCCTGCTGTTATTAACACTGCTCCTGTTGGTTAGTATTAAATGCTGCCGATAAGTAAGAAATAATATAAATATAATTGTGAGTGGTAGTTGAATAGATTTGTATATATCGTATTTAAACATAATTTAAAAAATATATTTAAATATACTTTAAAGATTCTAAGAAAGATTTATTATTAGGCTGTTAACAGAATCTTTAGAATTTATTTTGTAAATGCTAAAATCTTATTCTAAAAGTAAAAAAAAAACGCAACATCGTCATGTTCCTATCGTTATCCCAATTTTTATTTAGAGTCGACGTAATTATATGTATATTTTATTTTATTTTAGTATCAGATCCACAGCGAGTAACAAGACACCAAAGCCATAATTCCCAAGGTGAGAACTTTAATGTTAATTGTTGAGATAGTGTGTATTACTATTCGCAATATGACAAAGTATTGTAAGTACAAAAGACGGAAAATCTAAATAAAAACATTATGTAATATCTCATACTACAAGTAGAAGATTTTATTTTTTTATTATAACCTTCCAGTAAGAATAGTATTAATACTCTTGCTCTTTTGGACCCATTTACGGTAGTAAAAAAATATTTGATTATTATGATACCTAATAAACGCCTTTATATTTTGTTTTTTTTTTTTATTATTATTATTTTATTCTATAATATTATCAACAATTACACAGGTCCATGCATGGACAAGTTGCAAAAGTGCGACCTAGTAGCGCAAGCGCGCCTGTGCAATTATCCCTACTACGCAGAATCCTGCTGCCGGTCCTGCCACGGCCGGACGTAACAATGGTAATTTTAATTATTTCACTACTAACTTTTACTTTATATATGTATATATATATAATTATCAGTTACTGTTTATTTAACTTTATGCCGAGCCCGTTTCGGAGAAACGACTGTCAAAGGCTTCTTTACATATGTATATCTCTTACCTCATCATCTATATCTAATAATAAATCGGAAGAGTTTGTTTGTATATTATTTGAACACACTAGTCTCCGAATTCACCAGTAAGATTTGAAGACTTTTATTCAACGTCACGATACCACCACAAGCTAAGCTGCAGAAGTTAGCTTTACTACTTATATAACTTGTCTCACGAAATTTCTACATGACTCTTAGATAAAACTCGGTCATTCTAACTTTAGATTCGTCTAGGTCTCACCCACGTCTAACAATTTTTTTTTTCACAGATAAGGGAGACAATATAATATAATCTGCGTGTTTACGAGTATACGTAATGTGATACAAAATGGACGTATAGTGAGAATACGTAACATAGCAAATCGAAAGAAGATTACGGCCGTGCCCACATGTGGAAAAATCCATAGAGATAATGATGTCACGGACCTCACGAAGGACTCCACGCCACGCAACAAGCGAAGCATCCAAATTGCGTCTCCCATATTGTGATTATGATATTATTTACCCCAAATTTTCGACCTGACAGTACGTACGTGCTACGTACATACCTTGAAGTAGGTATAATGTCAGTTTTGAGTAAATACGTCACGCATCCTTTATAGACGAATTACGGTATGGTTACTGCTCTTTTGTCTAATAGGCGAAAGTATATCTTTTTTTCTTGTCCGTGGTAATAAAAAGAACCACAACCAAAAATCTTACTTATTTAATTATAATATAATAATTATAAAGATTTATTTTTTATATTTAAGCTGTAGGTACTTAATAATGCATTTGCCCACTAAAAGTATTCTCATAAATGTTTTTAACAAACGATCTAACTTTGTGTAATATTTTTTGCAATCTTTATATAGTATACACATTATTGGAGTTGAATCTTTTATATACTTGAATCACTTTGAATACCAATCATTATTTATATTATAAGAGACTTTAAATAGATTTAAATGTTGTACCAAGATCTGTATGCTTGGCTAAAGTTAGAGTTAAAGGAAAGCTGTTACATAATTGTGAGTTAGATTTAGTTTTGTGATCTCCATGTGTTTAGTCGAGTTATGGAATGATCTTTGGCCTTTGCCGCTCGACCACGATTTTTGGGCTATGCGCCATGTGACGCGGGAACTAGCGCGGAATATACGATGACCTGACCTTGACGCAGAACGCGGCGACTTATGACATACATGCTTCTCATTTACATACTATTGATAAGTATACAAAAAATACCAAAGATATAGAATCAGGAAAAGGAGCTTCTTCAAACACATAGAAATGTTACAAATTTTGTAAAAAAAAAATATAACGTATGTTCTGCCTTTTCTTTAGATAACTTTTTTATAATTATGGACTGTTTTTATCTTTATAATTATTGTACGAGATTGTGAGTTTTTATATATCAATATTTCATATTGTTTGTTATTATTGCTTCTCGCTTCGCTTCCTTCATCACTTACCGCTTAGCCCAAAATCGTGGCCGAACGATTAAAGAACCTTCATACCGAATGCGGCAACATCTGTATGATCTGTTAGTGAAAATTATCTAATTATTATTTATTAAAAATAAATAATAATTATATAATTTTCATTTTTTTGGAATAATTAGGTAATTAAAAATTGCTATGATAGTAAATTAAAATGTTAATTATAGAACACGCGCTTATTTATTATTACGAGTACTATTTAATATTTTACTTTTAAAAATTCGAAAACTTTTTTTAACTTTCAAAAATTCAGGTGGTATGTTAATAATAATACTAAAAGATTAACGTTTTGGTTCACTATCAGAGTACTTTTTTATATTATTATTGAGAAATACTGAACAAATATTCAGTATTTCTGAATTAAATTAATTTTGAAAAGGGATAGATAAATCAGATGTTGGCCCACATCGATATGAACTGGTATGAACACTCTTAAGATTAATTGTGTAGTTAGCAAGAAAATATATTAAGATTTATCGTAGTTAATAGGTAAAGCACGATATTGTTATTTGAGTTTGGCACTGAAACGGGATTAAAAAATTGTAACTTGCCTATATTTTCATTGAGAAAAATATTTTAATATACTTAAAGAGAATGAGATTAATTTTACGTGTATATTATGTACCTATATTTAAATGTATAATTTCGAATATAGCTATGACAAATATATAATTTAGATATTGCAAAAACTGACAATTCTCATCCAACGTGTTATAAAATATTATTTGGCTAATAATACAAAGTAATTGCTACAATTTTGTATATTGTAATGCAATACCTAAATATTTATTTCATTAAATCACAAGGAGTATTTTTTTTTTATTTTTTAAATAAAAATATATTGTAACTTTTTTAAATTATATTGTTCATAATAAATATGTAGTCACATATTTTAATGTTGAAACTATATCAAATTATTATATATATATATATATATATATATATATATATATATATATATATATATTTATATATATATATACAGAATCTAATCCCACAATTAAAATTTTGAGCAACGGGTTTATATATATTTTATAATTCACTAGAAAACATTTATATCTTTATAACATAATAATTTGATCGATAACTATTTATTAATATATAAATATTATCTTGTAATATACATTATTCATTTTCTACAGAACTATGCATAAAGAACCATAATTTTTTTCTACTTTTTTAGTACTTTTTTAGTTCTATTCACATATAGTGAATAGAATTAAAGAAAATTTAAATAATTTTCAAGTTTATGTAGTAGCAAAGTCTAAATAACTCCTTTCTACCGAACAACGGATATTTTGCATAAATCAATGCATCATGAACTGTCCCGTAATCGTTCGTAACATGCCAAAGGCGTTGGGCCACTGATTATTCCTTAGACGGTGTAAACGTAAACATACATAAGGATTTTTATTATTCAGTGAAAATGGAATAATAATTCCACCTGCGCTATCGGCAAACGCTGGCAAGGCACAAATGAGGATAAAAACAGATTAGTTAGCCCATCGTGATGAATTCATTTAGAATTAACCACGATGGTTTCCAAGGAAACCATGTGAGGGTCAACCTGATAGGGTATATTACTAGCAATGGGATTGTCAGTACCCACTACTAATAATTGTTTTCCCTCTTTACTATAATCGTACGAATCAACTTTTGAATGTCGCTAATTCTGTTTCTGTATAATGATTGTACAAATTATCCACCGCAAATCTACAGATATATAAATAAAATTAACTTTTTTTCGCTAAATAGCAAGCACTTCCGAATCGCATACGAGTATTTAACACAACTGTAGAGCAACTCGAATTTATTATAATTGCACATATAGCCATTTATCTAAATGGCTCTAGAGTAATTTTACACAAGAGTTCCTTAAATAACTTATGTAAATAAAGATATATTGAAATTTCCATGGGAACGAGGTTAAAGGATCGCGCAGACCCCTGTGGTTCCGCCACAGGCAATGACTAGTTGAATTTGTAAACAACAGAAACTCTTTCTCATTTCTGCATAAATTTTGCATAAACTAGCAAATATTGATAGCCTGTAACTATAATGAGATTTTAATATTACTGTATACACGATGTAGCCCTATTCAAATGAAAGGTTTGTTCAGTTTCACGCATACTACACTGGGTTTTGAATTTTTTTTATTCTTTCTGTTACACCCAATATAAACCACTAACTATAGGATCCACTGTTTTATTTACATCATAAATAATTGTAAATATAATTATTATTATAGATATAACTATATATTATGAATAGTGCATTTAAATGCCTACTGGCTGTTATGTATTTATGTGATTAATTAGTTAAACAATGACCATCACATCAAGTATTATAACGTTTTGTAAAGAATGTAAGCCAAACGATTTCATGCGGCCAACTGAATCTATATTAGATAATGCTAATTGTAACAGTTTGATAATTATTATATTTATGTATTAGCTAATAATGCACTTAACATTGTACAAAAATTAAAAGCTTTAAAAACTCGTTGTTTTTTATTTTACAAAATTACTTGTAACTAACTAAAAAATACATATGGACGATACTTTGGACTGTATGTTATAGTTAATGTGCGTATGTGAAGATTTTATTGGAGTATCATGAAACAATGGATAAAATAGAAAATAATTATAATGAAGAAATTACGTAAGTATAGAAAGATGAAGGTAGAGAGAAAGCGTGGCAGCTACTGGCAAAACCTCCCTTATGGGGAGTCTACGTTCAATAGTCGACAATTAACGACTAATACAACAAGCGGCAAAACTCCTCCTAATGGGGGAGGCCTATTTTCAGCAGTGGATATTTAACGACTAATATTATAATAATGATAATGATTTGTTATAGTAATTTTTTATATATATCATAAACTCCCAAAGAAGGAAAAAGAGTGATTTATTAACAAAAAATTCCAGGTTGATGAAATCACGGATATTACCTGTCTATTATCAATAGCAGATTATCTATACCACAAAATACTTATCTCGTAGTACAACAATGTGCCGTGGGTACTACAGCAGATATTAGATTTCACAACAGATAAAATTTATCGCTCACTAATATAATAGTTTGATAGATATTTTTTATTTACTCGACAGTCAACGTACAAACAGTGTGTGACTAACAAGAAAATTTTTACTAAATAATAAAAAAAAAATAATTAAAAATTATGTCTGCACCACCACCGCCTCCGCCGCCCCCTCCTGGACATGTACAGTCTGTACATGTTGTGGAAACAAATACATCAAATTCTATAATAACCTTCCTAAATATAATTAATGCTATCACACATTGGTTGCTAGGTGCAGTGGTAATCGGGGCTTTCTTTTTTGCAAATATTGTACCCAAGGCTGGAATTTTTTCTACTTTGAGGCAACATATTTATTTATGTGTTACAGGGGTAAGTCCTTTAATATATATTTTAGTAGTGGTTCAGCCCAACTTCGGACGTGTAAATAGATTTTCAATAATAATAATATATAGGTGAAAGATGTTTTTAAAATCTATTGAATAGTTTTTGAATTTATCCAATACTAACAAATAAACAATAAAATCATTCCTCTTTAATATAGATATAGATCAGGTTTTAACTACTTCTTCGTCTACATGGCAGGAATATGTTCGCTAGCTGGCGTAAAAGTAGCCTATATCCTTTTCTATCTCATATAATACGTGTATATGATTTTTTTTAAATTTATAGGTAAATCATTAAAGTACTACAAGCAAGAGATAACAGACATAAAAACTTTCACGTTTTTTTAATATTATAGTAAGAAAGTAAAAATTATATAATATATTTTAAATATTTTACTGTTTTACTATTCGCCCTCTTGAACTTTGAACTTGCTAATACCAAACCGTTGTGATTTTTTAATTAAGGCGATAGGTACTTTTAAAAATGCTAAGACACGTAAACACGTATTTGAGTAATTTTGGCTAATATTCATACTCAGAAGTGCTCATAAGACATCTTACTTTTATTCCTGAATCATTTCGTAATTTTAACAGATTTCTATATAAACTTAACTAAAATTGATAACTCTATATTCTAAATGGTAAAGTCGATCATTGTTTTTAAATTGGTTGATTGTAAATTATTTGTACCTAGGAATTAATGATTTAGGGTAGGTAAAAGAATAAGAATTATTTGAAATATTTATAAATTTCACACATTTCTTTTCAGTACATTATTTTAATGAGTCTGGCTTTAACTTCCATAAATCCTTATTCGGGCTTTTTAAAGACCCTGGATCAAAATAAAAAAAGGACGATACATTTTGTTCTACAAGTAATAGGATCAGTTCTTGCTATTGCTGGCAGCATTTTAAGCATATCCAAATTTAAGAACTTCAATAGTGCTCATGGAATTCTCGGTAAGTTAAATTATTTTTACTTTTTTTTATACAACTTAGAATGGCAAACAAGCTAACAGCCCACCTGATGGAAAGTGGTAACCGTCGCCTATAGACATGAGCAGTACCATGAACATAACAGAGTATGTAGTTTCGCCCATGATACCCCCCATGCATTGACATTCCTGAGGCTTCAGGTGTTATCCCTCTGTAGCCTGTAAATTCACGCCATATCCCACCCTTCAAACCGAAACAAAGCCATGCAAACACAATTGCTTCACGGTAGGACACGAATACACGAATAGGACAGTCTCCCTCTGGTACTTTCTTTTTACTTGCATTTTACTTCAAGATGTTAATCTTGAAGTAAAATGCAAGTAAAAAGAAATGATGTTAATCAAGATATTAAAATTATATTTATTCATTATTTAAACATTCATTCTTTAATTACACAGTATCTTAGTTTCGATAAATTTGTACGTACTTATGCTTATTTTTTATGGAATTTAAAATGGCAAAAAGCTAATAACCCAGCTAATGAAAAGTAACAACAATTGCCCGTAAACATGATCAATACCATGTATATCGTACACTCTAATGTCTATTCTTTATTATATTAGGATAAATGTATCATGGCTACTACCGATAATTTTTAATGCCTTTGCACCTACTTAAATTGATTTTATAAATTTTAAATAAATTATATTTTGTTTCAGGATTAATCGCAATGATCTTAACATTTTTAAGTCTAATTGGAGGACTGGTCAATGTATTCGCTCAAAAACTAAATAAATTTCCTGTACTTATTAAATCTTGTCACGCTTGCCTTGGTAGCGTTACACTTATTGTCGCATTTTTGAGTCTTATATTTGGTTTCTCGAGTGACATATTTAGGAATAGTATAGGAGAAACAAATAGTAATATGTGTATAGCATTCACTGTTTTTGCATTAGTGGGCGTTATAATTTCACCGTGTATCACACTTTTCAGTAGATTATTTAAGTAAATTTAATTTTATATTTCTTATATCTAATATAATCTAATCTCTAATACTGTAAGCAAAAATATAAATGTACATTATTACATTTGAATAAATTCCTTCGATTGAAAAAGAGAATTATCAAAACTAGTTCAGAATTATTGATGATGTCACATAATATCTATAAGTATACAAAAACAAGTAAAGAAAAATACAATCAGCTGAACCTCTTCCTTTTTAAAGTAGGTAAGAATATGAACACAAATGAAAAGTCAATACAAGTATTACCACTTATTACGTAATAATATTTTACCACATGCTAAATTTCATCCAAATTACTCCAGTAATTAAATTATATTTACTTTTGGTACTATTTTTTATCTAATTTCTATAAGTACTTAACGAGATATGTTTCAATGAAATTCAGCCACGGTCCACTGGTTTCAAACAAAAACAACAAGCTTTTAACTGACAAACCTCTATATTTCAATAACATATAGGTTATTGTCAATCACAGCTTTGTTGCATTACAATCTATCTATCTTTAGGCCAAGTCCCTTGCGGAGTAGGCAGAGATCAATATATATATTAACATTACGAATACCTACATATACCTACGTATATTAGTAATATGTGTTAAAAAAAAGTAATATTGTAGGAATATTCTGTTCGCCGTGTAATCCCGCCATAGAATGGCCCACCTCCTCCTTCCCCATGGGTATCGTAAGAGGCGACTAAAGTAATTTAATAGTTGAGGGATGGGCAGCAACGTCCCTTTTAAAATATCACTAAAACCTAACTACGGTTGCCAACCTGCCTACCAAGCGTGACAACTATTGGTAGAACCGCCCTTTACGGGGGAGCATATGTTCAGTAATAAACAGTTAACGGCTGATATGATACCTAATGATGATGATTCTGTAACCAACTTCGGAACGGAAATTTTTTACTTTGTAATGTATGATGCATAATATGATTGTTTAGTATATTGCATATAATTTGTTTTATTTTACTATTTAAACATTTTATATTTTCTACGTATTGTAATGAAATATATAGGATTTTATTAATTTTTTATTTAATTCTTTATTGCACCATAAATAAAAATATACAGTGACAAGTGAATAATTCAAGCGAAATACAGTAACATAAATATATATTATATTGGAAAGATATGTTTCAGAGAACTACAAATTAATATGACTACATAAAATTCCTAGTTATCTATTTAATACTATAATATTTTATAAGATTATGTGTGTATTACTGATAATGTTATATACATTACATATTACAAGGAAAAATAAATTAAAACAACACATATGTTTCTAAATCTTTATCACTTGTTCATTATCTATTTACATTAATCCTTATATTAACTAAACTTTATTACATAGTTATTTAAATACATTTGAAATTACTTAATATTTTAGAGTCATGACCGTGTTCTACATTACTTATATACTTAAGTATCACACTGAATACAAATAGTTACACTTTAAGTAATTTAATAATACCATTATGTTACTTTAACTATAATAATTAGATATGCTTATATTGCAAAAGAAAATTTAAAAATAAGGCATTAAAATATAATGTTGTAAACATGTATATATATTAGAAGTGTACATATTTCATAATATTAAATTAATAATTTAATTAATGATCGTTTTATTAGAAAACGATATTATAGATGTAATTAAGGTTCAAATTCGTTTATAGTTAAACAATGGTTAGAAATTTGATTACTCAATTTTATTCATTATTATAATATTCTTAAAACAATTTGACTTTTAATTCTTCAACTGTTAATAATTAAATTCAAAATCAACGTTTACATATGTTCTATTTATAACAATAATGGCAATATAATTATTTAGGTAATGTTTTACTTCTTTTATTCTTTTTTGTTAGCGTTAGCATCGCTATCTAAATTAAGTTGGTTCTTCACATACTAGTCAATTTTGGGACATTGTTTGCTTAGATTTATAAGGTGATTCTAGATCTAGCGTCCAAAAACGTCCTCTCACTAAAACTACACTCAAGTGCTTATACGCTCGGATGATACTTGTCGCTTTTCTTGTTTAACATTACTATTAAAATATGTTTGTCCTTGTCATATACTAAATAAACATTACAAAATGACTTTTAATCTAGTTATTTATGAATGATGTTTTAATTACACAAAACCACCGTTTTTCACTAGGTTACTTAAATTCACTTAAGTACTTCGAACCATAATTGCAAGTAAGTATAGGTACTTGCTTCATCTATTCTCGTTCATATCTGTGTGATACAACTAATATATTATTTTTAATTTTATTACTTACTAACTAAACTTACTGTTATTAATTTAACTGTTTATTATAAAAACAGTATAATATAAATAATACTGTATACAGTTTAATTCAGACTCATCTATACATAAATATTCTGAGTTATCTATAATTTTGACTTGTTTCTATAAATGCGTTATTATTTTGTCACAACACTATTAGACGCTCTCGTAGACAAAAAATTAAACAAACCAATTTATCGATAAACACGTTTTTGCTACGGCTCGTTCTAAATAAGACGGTAACGTTAGGCGTCTTATTCTTTCTCATGAGTATACAAATGAAAACGTATTCATCGATAAATTATTACGAATTTACGTAAGTATCTCCATTCATATTTATTTCCTTTATAAATAATAACGAATAAAAAGAAGAAGAAAGAAAAGAAATGTTTACAAGAACAATGTAAAAAAATTATTCCTTCCTAACTTACACTGTTTATTTGTTTAAACATATACATATCTACGGTATGAGTATATAAATATGTACAATATAAGTATATAGTAAAAATTCATAATTATGAACTCAAATAGTATTTAATTTAAATTATCATAAGAAATTCCTCAAAAAGATACAACTATTGTACTTATATGATTCACTACTCAAGATCTGAAAATCATAAGTTGCATCCGGCAGGACTTATTATTTTTTATAATATTAGGTGTATCTAATACAATAAATCCATATGCTTTTTCATGTTTTAAATTTTATGTCATAAAAGATAAATATCCGTGAACCGTAGACTATAAGCAATATTCTATATTTATACGAATTTGACACACAATCCCAAGCGTATATTGGCTTGGGTTAGCTTGATTTAGCGGTGCCAATATTGTGTTATATCGCCACGGAAATGATTTTACGTTGAATTCACACGATTATCATAGATGACGCAAAGAGATTAGATTAGAAGATTTCTATATCACTGAGCTTTGTGATAGACAGCTGCTCATCTGAAATGAAGCAACCAAAAACACCCAAACAACGCTACTTTTATAACATATTTTTTTCTTATAGTACCTAAATAAAAACAGATTACCAATTAGTGACTAAGAATGAAACATACAGAGAATAATGAAAGTAATACAATAACAACACTATTAAAACATGTTTATGTCTTTTTAAAAGAAATAAAAGTTATACAAAACTGTATAAGATATTTCTACAGCGTATAAATAAATTTACAATGAAATTGTATATTATTAAAACATATAGGTTGAAATTGAAATCATTACATCTACAAGTAAAACTAAAAAGTTTGTACTTGACAATGCACACTACATTATAGACGAATATATGTAAAATTGTTTCAAAAATTAAACAAACGATAAATGACTGCATTGTATTTTCATGAGACAAGAGTATTTAAATTGCATTGTGGCATTGTATTCAATCAATTGTAATGACTGTATTAATAACATAATTAGACAAATATTTGTATTAAAAATAGATTTGTACGCCATATATGGTAGGATATAAAGGTGTAATCACCTAATATGTACCACCATTCAACACATTCGCTGCCTTAAAATAGCGATTTCTTTAAAAAATGCGATATTTTTTTTCTTTTTTCCACTAATAATAAGTGTCTTTATTACCAATTAAATTCACCTGTAATATCCATATTTCAGCAAATAAACAATTTTTATTATGAAACTAAACATTTTACAAAGGTAGGGTTGAAAGAAAGCCTATCACAATAACTTGATAGCCAGACACCATGTGTAGGGGTATATAGCAGTCTATCAATAAAATACTAATGACTTCAATTTTACCCTATATACATATATACTTATATAATTAATACAATTTAGCGTCCAGTACAAGAATTGCAGCAGTTCTGTATGTAGTAGTTATAATGGCAGAGTCGCGCTTGTACAGCCAAAGCGCAGTTGTACAGTTTATCCTCGCACTCTGTAATATGCAGCGAATAATTTTTACACAACATAAACATAATATTAATTTTATACAAGTATGTCTATTATGTCTTATTATTATTCTTTTGCATATTCTATTTTCAAATGAGGAGATCAATGTATTCATTTAAAACAGTATAAGATTTAATTCCATAAAAAAAATTAATCGCAAAATCCTTAAGTGTCCTAATTATCTGGCATAGAATATTCTTCCACTTTAAAAATAATTCTAAGCCTAAAACTATCTTGTGGTCTCAATGTGGATAGCGGTTGGTAAGTCGCTATAATATTTATAGTTTTCAGTCCCCTCGTAGTTTCCGACTGTACACTGGTTACTTTACGAGAATGAATTTACGTGCCGTGCACCAACGTGGTAAAATTTACGTTTATTTACACTATACATGTTAGAGAAGTAAAAATTAGGTAGGTATATTAAGATAAACACGATCTTCATCAGGTGATTTTATGTTTGTATTTAATGTGTGTTATATTGCAATACGCTGTTGGTGTTCCTTTAAATAAAATAAATAAACTTTACCAAAACCGAATTTACAAAAAGGATTAGGATAATCCTATTAATATAATAACTGCGAAAGTTCCTAACAATAGAAGAATGGATAGATTGATGTATTTTTATTACTCTTTCACGCGAAAACTACAGAATAAATTTAAATGAAATTTGGCATATGGGTAGGTTATATTCTAAGTACATAGGAAACTTCATGTACTGATTCACGCGGGCAAAACTGCGGAATATAACTACTATAAAATAAACTAAAATAATTACTTGTACTCATATATATACTACCTACCTATGTAGGAATAATAAATGTATGATGTAGATAATTAAAAAAAATTGTATATTTATTTTCTTCTTCTACACACCTACATAAATATCAAAATATACTCTGTCATGGTGATAGATATCGTAATTATATATTAATAAATTAATATAAAAAAATAAATATTTTTATTAGTCCATAGCTATATAGTAGGTTAATTATTTTTACCTTTAGGTACTTCTCTGATGAAAGTTCTAAATGTGGTTGTTTCCAGATCTGGAGTTCTTTGAGATAAATTCGACGTTCGTTGAGACTCTGTGAATAATATATTATTTACGTCGATTGTAAACAAAGGGCTACATATTCACAGCTAATCCACCATGAAATGTAATTCCGAAGTTTTGGCACAGAATATACATATAATATTAATTTAGGCTTGCGGTTTGCATTTTCTTATATGCTTATATCAAATTCACGCCAAAGGCGGAGAGTAACTTTATGTTTGTTATAATAATTGACAGCTTTTCCGTCTTGATTTTATCACCAAGTTTTTGTTTTGTTTAGCTCCGAAATTTCAGATGAATTTACATGATATATACGACTGCTTAAAACAAGAACATTGTTTTATTCACTACAAGTTGATTCTCGCGACTTAACTCGCGATACTATTTAATTTTTGTTCCCATGGAATTTTTCGGAAAATCTATCTTACTTTGCAAAAGTTATCCGCAAAATTTCATATTTCAAAACCAATAAATTTCAGCTGAAATACCTCTATCTTCTAAGCTAGCTGGAGGTTGATTCCACCATTATACGAGTATGAATTAGCTTAGAACTCATAATTTACTGGACCTAATTAAAAATCAATTCGTACACCAATTTTTAAGTTGGAGTTATATATATCTAAATATCTTATTTACTATGTACATACCAAATGAAATATCTGATGGTAATGTAACAATCGATGGGCATCGAGGCGCACATTCCCGTTGCGCGACTGGCTTAGGACCTGAACATTCAGACTCGTTGCTCGCATCTGTACCATTGTCAATACGATCCGGATCCCGTGTGCACACTACACTACGCTTTTGAGTTCCTATCCCAATTGTACAATTGCTCGTACACTGAAATATAATAATTATCTCAATTTGGAATAGAATAGAAACACAAATATGAATCTTATCTGATTTTGTTCTAATTTCAACCTGCTTAATAAAGAAACTGGTTTCCTTCGGGCTAAACTGATGAGTCCATTGATTTTTTAATTATCTACAATTAACTTGAACATATAAATAACCTGATAAAAAGTTATAAACATCGCCAATAGATATAGACAGCACCATGGATATTAAATAATGTACTGCAACGCTCAAAGTACTCCTGTGTTATCGTTCCGGAAGACTAAGGTGTTATATATCTATACCCTATAAATATTCCTCTACTATATCCCATTCTTTATATTACTTAATTATGCAGGCTAACTAATTATATTTAATGTACTGATTTCGGATAATTTCAGATAAAGAACGTCGCAAAATTTAATAGACAAAATAAAAGGACGTTTGTGACCATAATTGAAAACTGTAAACGCTCTACATCAATATTTTAATTTGTTCAATGTTCAGCGTAGTAATGTGATACGAATACGTGTATAATAATATATTGTAATAATAACTATCAAATATTATAGTTAACTATTTTTTCAGTATGTGTGAGTTGTTGTCATACAAAGATCTAATTATATTATCTTTGTATGATGACAATATTTCTCAGTATGTACGAATAAAAGTTTTACTCAGTAATTATTTATAATTAATAACGCTATAACATAAGATTTATTACTATGGACAGACATAGACTAGCAGGCTGTAGGTTGTAGTTATTTCTATTTATTACCTATTTATATTCTAAGTCATGTATATTTTGCAAGAAATATGAATGGCACCAGCACATGAATTCAACTCAAGAGTCCTGTTGTTTATTTTTAACGTGCCCTTTAACTAAGTAACGATACAAATCACAATTTTAGTTTTAGTACAATAACTTATCTCTGCATCCAATATGATAATAGCAGCAATAGTATTGTATACGTAAAGTGTGTTCTCATAAAAATATTTCTAAACTCACCTGACCCCAATCACTGAAATACCAAGTCGCGGAGCAGTCTTCCCCACAGACTCGCTCGTGATCAGGTTTGGGACCTTTGCACGCAATGTCACGAAGATGTCTTCCACTGCCGCCAATACAGAGAACGCCTCGTATTTGCCTTCCCTTGCATGGAGATGAACAAGGCGACCATTCTCCTGAATCATCGAATTTTTATCGTCATATCAAGAATAGATTACAAAATTTTAATCATCAGCGTAGCGCAGTGACAAAAAATATATTATTAATCATAATCAGACAGCATGTATTAATAGTATTATGTCCAATCAGTTTAAAAAACGATTCTTTAAAATAAGCTCAAGTCAGTGCGATAGGTAATGAAGTGTAATATCTCTAGATGTTCATTGTATTGTTAGTTACTGCGAAATCACAAGTATCGAATCCTAGCAAACTTATTTACATAACAGGCAAAATAAAATATTCTGTCAGACGAAATTGATATTAAAAAATGCCTTTGTAAAGGCTCTGAAAATATTTTTTTTATTTGTAAAAAAACGAATAGATCATAGTAAAAAAATAGATACCAACCGATTAAGAGTTGTCGAAATTTAGACAAGTGAAGAGTTAATGAAACAGAACGTGCATAAATACATACATTTGTAAGACAAAGGGGAATTCGTACATTGAAATGTATGAAATAATAAAGAATATCAGTAACAAATAAATAAATTCTATATACTTAATCCACAAGGAGCAACTCAAATCCCAATACAGTTACCTGTAAACCATTGTGCATCATGAGAATCGCAAATTTGTTTAGGTGTGCATGGACGTGAAGACTCAGGTGCCTTCCTTGGTGCGCAGCCCGATGGATCCGCGCAGCGAATACCGCGAGTCTGCACTCCGCCACCCACGCACCAGCCAACACACTTATCACAGAAACAAAAAGTACACTTTAACAATCTTTACATGTAATTAGATTATGATTAAGTACAAGGAAGAATAAACTCAAAAAGAGACGGATAAACTTCATTTCTTCTAGATATAAAAACGATTACAATTTCTTTCATTTCAGCAGCGTCCCTCTTAAAACATCTTTAAAAGCCTAACTGCGGTTACCAACCGGCCTGATAAAATTCCCCTTAGCAAACTCCCCTTATGGGGAAGGTCTGATAATTAATTATATTTATTAATTTATTGTACTCGAGCTTTTTATTCATACAACTTAAAGCCCTGGAAGAATTTTGTTGACTGTTGCTTAAATAAATAAAAGTTACTAATACCTTGAACAAAAGGCTACAGGATTGTTATACAATATCATCTGCGGGTAAAAATAATACTAATATTAGCTTAGTAGTAATATTATTATTATGGTATTACGGCTGATTGTAAAGAAATCTTACCTCTGTCCAATCAGTATAAAGCCACCCAGCGGCAGCATTAAAGGTGTACTCTGGTCCAATATCAATATCTGTACTATTCGCAGCAACGGTATATACCGGACCATCTCGGAAAGCATCTGTGTTCTCTCTCGGTAATAAAGCAGATTTGCTCTTAAAAGTTATATCTGATGTAGAAGGCAAACAATCTGGTATGTTACATGGTTCTGTGGTAGGTGGCTTCAGACCACTGCATTTTGTATCACTCACCTAGTAACAGAAGTTTTAAATTTAAGATAGACTATTTATTACTGTAGTCCAGATAATTTATATAAAAGTTTTAAAAACCTAAAATATAATAATTACATATTATTATTTATTTAAAAAACGTTTCTACACACAATATTACTAATTGATAATCACAAGTCTTATAGCCACAGAACTTATTCTGTGATGATTAAGATTCCCTTAGATAAAGAATGACCACATTGTCACTATCATGTCATTATCATAAGACCCGCTAAAATTGTGTAAGAGAAATCTTTTTTCCATATTCGTCCCATCTTTCTCGAAATGGGTCAAGTAATGGTCGGTCGACCATACAGCCAAGTCTTATTTATATAAGTGGTGGTAAGGTAATGTATATAAGTGATAAACAAGAGCTAACCTTTCTATCCTGATATACATTTTCATTCTACGTAATCTTCTTTATACTTACTTTAGTTATTCCCCTCCAATGATCTTGCACACATCCGACTATCCTTGTTCGAAGAGCAGGCCCGCATTTAGGACACGTAGACCATGCTGCAGCTCTCCACTTGGGCTCACAGGGAATATTGCCGCAACGTCGTCTACGACCAGCTGGGGTTGGGCCAGAACAATGTACTGAAGATACTTCTCTGTCGGTGCCCGCAGAGATCTCTACGCAGCGGTATTTACCTAGCTACAAAAAAATATTGCACATTTTTGTTAAAGTTAAATGTCCTTAAGACCTAAGGCATGCGTAGTCGTAGCATAATATATTCATAAAATATGTATAGTCAATATAAATAAATATATATATATATATATATATATATATATATATATATATATATATATATATATATATATATATATATATATATATTCTTGATATTTATAGCACGTACATGTTAATTCTAAATACATTTATATAAAAATATATTATATACGCTCTGGTATGTATATCTTCCTTTATATAATAGTTGTTAATAAATATACCATCTTCGTCATTATATATGAAATAATTCTTACCTGAAGTCCACCGCCGCATGTTCTAGAACACTGTGTATATGATAGTATCTTCCAGATAAATCTCCTAGTTCCTACAATATTTTCTTTTATATCATCATCTTCTTCCTTTGACATACTTGTTAAATCTGGATACTTTGAAAAGTTAGGTCGTGAACGTTCGAAACCGTGGTGTCTTCTACTGTGTTTAGTAGGAATTGGTGGTACGATTTCAGGAAGGTCGGTTCGTGTTGCTGTTTCTATATCGATGTCTCCTGGCTTTGACTCAATAAAGTACTCATATTTTATACTTGGATTTGGTTGAGTGTATAATATCTAAAAACATTGCAAACATCTATGATTGTGGTTTACCTTTTATTAAATCAGGCACACATACACAAATATTTTTTTAAGTATATAAGTAAGTATCTTAAATATCTAACGGGCACATAAAAAGATTGTAAGGGCTTATGTCAATAGTAAAATGGTAATGGTATATCTTCAAAAAAACTTGATTATTATTAATAATGGTAACAATCCAGTTGCTAAAGCTGCATAAAATTATCTGATTCTCTTAAATAAACAAAATTATAAATTGTACGTATGTACATAATATCCAATTAATATTATAAACATAATTTAACTTAGTACATATCTAATAACTTGTATACACGTTAAAATTAACGAGTACTTTTTAAACACGCTCACCATTATATCTATTGGTTGCAGCGTAGGGCCAAGAGCGAATACACTGTCAAGTCCAATAGCTCGCGTATATAGGAATCTCGTGCCAGCCGCGTCGTATCTTCCCGGTGCACTTACAGCAAACTCCCCGTTCATTATGTATGAACCATTTGATATCTTCAATGCTAGCGCAAAAATAAAATAATATTATTGAAGTTTATCTTCGGATTTTTAACGCGATTTGTCAAAATCCTACACTAAAACTGTATCAAGTACATTTTATAATTAGTAAAATATAAGAATAAAAAACGCGGAATTCACCTAATAACATAGTAAATTATATTTAAATCAAAGAAACATTGAGTAAAATGGCAATGAGCACTTAAAAATTATTACATTATTACAAAGCTTAAATATTTTTATCGATTCTCTCTATTGAAATATAACATGTAGATATTGACTGTATTTACTCCACCAGACACAAACGTATTATATTGATGGTAGGTGAGACAGAGGTAGGTTAATGGTATATACCTCTGTCCCATTTGTATTTGCTCGAATGCGACACATTTATATACATATATACTAAATTTGCATACATACACAAATAAATATACATAACTAATAAATATACTAAGTTAAGTTTTAAGCCATTCTTAGTTGCATGAAAAATTATTCAATTTTCCATTTAGATTAATTAATTATAGCATTTGAATTCCTGCGTTGATTGATAATAACATTATTTTCATAACTTTTAATTATTAATCGACTTAATATCGGTTAATAGTTAAACTATGGCAGTGAAATTTATGTAAAGGGAGAATTCTCAAGTCAATAGATATATTTTTTCTAGTGTATTATTTATATGAAAATAAAGTTCGAAGATATAAAATTTGTGTAAAGTTATTAAGTAATAAATATCTATCTCCGACGTCAAGATAATAGATAATAAAATTATTTACTACCAAATTAATATTAGTATAATAAATAATAAATAAATAATAAATAAATAAATATAATCACCGATAGATCTTCAAATTATAATATGTACGATGCAATTATACACGCTTGATTGTAGCCTTGTCGGTAGTTAGAAATTGATTCCAAATAGAACAAGCTCAATGGCAAGGTGAGTCTTATTCACATTTGCACAGACAATGTGGGCGTGCTATTGTACGTGATCTCAAATGATTTACGGTCAGTCGACTTGCTGATTGATAAGTGACCAACCTTACGTTCGCGGACCATTTGCCTCCGTCAAAGCACTATTCAACATTGTAGAGTAATGAAATAAGTCCAGTCTGACTTCATTAATAAATACATAGACTTCGATATCAACGACTGCTTTTAGAGATATTAAAGAGGCCCTAACTAATTTTACTAATGGATATATAAATTCTAAAGTACCTACTGCTTTGTAAAAAATATATATTTCATATAGATACAGTTCTTAATATAAAATATTATAATAGATACCTGTTCTGTTTTTGGTGATAAGATAGATAATTACTATATATTTAAAATGAATATGTTTTTGCAAATCACACCAAAGAACAATGTTTGTTGCTAACTTTGATTACATGGCAAATATCCAGATTCCTGTATTAGTATTTATATATACATATGTCACTACAAAGTTAGTAGTAAATATTCCAGAAACGTTCTAAGTACTAAATAATAGTAGATAGTATATATTAAGACGGACATCTGTTAATACTGACCGATATAGTTCTCGCTGGGCAGTATCTCTGAGATGTTGAGGCGGCAGGCGCCACGCGGTATCGTGGTCACGTACGAGTATCCGAGTGGTAGCCGCGGACGGGTGAACAGACCCGATATTAACCGTCGACCGCATCGCACATCAACTGCACCAAAAGCTGCCAACACTGATTCCCGCCCCACGACCTGTGATTACAATAAGACAACGAAGTAAAATAACTACCAGCGTTTTTAGATAGACTTTACGATTTTATCAATATTTTTTTCCTTAAATATTATAATTTTTATGTAAAATAGATGGTAAGTCGACATAAATGTACGATGTTTACCTCGATACTTACAGTAAACATGCAAATAACATTCATTTTTGTAATTAATAGGCAATTGTAGAAATTTATTGCAAATATAATAATATTTGTTGTAAATCACAGTGGCGCCAACTGCATTACTAATAACGTACATCTTAATTACGAGTAAGCACGTAGAGAACTTGAATAAGTCTAAATTTTTTATTGAAAAATTTATTAAATACATAAAAGAGATATTTGATGTAGTCGTATTTTTCGATGGGAGTTGTAAGAAGATCTCCATGACATGACCGTATATATTTTATAGGCAATAATTAAATAAAACAAATAAGGCGCCATATTTGCTACTTCCAGTAGCTTAATATTTATAACATAAATTTGACCATTAGATTGTCTTAATTGCTACACTATAATTTAGATTTCAATCGCTTGATATAAAAAGGAATCTAAGACACACTTTACTCATAAATTTTGTAAAAAAGCACTGTTAAAAGCTTAACACACACTACTAGTTATTAATTTACATTTATTATACTATTATTTTTCTATAATGCAGATTCCAGTTTATAATAATATCGAGTTTCCAGTAAATACATAAAACAAGATCTTGACACTAGTCGTACAAATTACCTACCGCTTTGAATAAATAGCTTCAATATTTAGTTTTTTTATTTTTATTTATATCCATAATGCATTTCAAATTAAATGAATCAGCCGTTTCAGCAATAAGAAGTTATGCATATAAGGCTACTTGCCTAATCGCTGTCACAATTATCAAACAAATTATGTCGTTAGTATCTACATAATAATAATTAATAATAATAACAACAAATAATTTCTTCATATTATTCTGAAATTGCGCACAATTATTTTAATCCTCTAGCAAACTAACACTTCATATGTACGAGTATAATGTTTTAATGTCTAGATGTCTTCAACTAATGTTCATGTTGCATTAACGTCCAACGGTTATTTTTATGGCTGCTATATTTGTCTCTGATATCTTTATACGAAATATTATTTTCTTTAATGCCATACCCAAGGACCTCCTTAAAAGCATCACGCTCTTTTATTCATCGTTAATGTCTATATTCGAATGTAAATTGCTATTGAATATTTGAATTTATAGTAAAAGCGGCGCCGATTTGCAAATAAAACTACATGAAGCTTATCTCTAATGTCTTAATATCTTCAATAAAATATATAAAATAATAATAAACCAAAAGTTACATGATTGTGGTAAAGAATAATGTTGTTCAATTTTAATCTCTGTTGTGACTGAGACGTGTTTAATGCAATTAATAAACTGTGAAAGCATAACTTTAATCTGATTATTGTAATTTCGGTGCGCTCGTTAATCAGTAAATACTTAGTAAACTATAGACTTATAAATCAAACGAAGTGGTAATTGAAAATGTCTGCTAATAGACTATTAATTAGGATTACGTGTGAGTTAATGAATAACCTGTCGCGGGCCCGTTGCAGCCGGCTTTGAACTATGTAATTTGTGACGCGGCGCTATGAAATGAACTTTGATTTTATAACCATATCGAGCCGTTAGTGATTACCTATTTAGTCGTTAAATATGGTAACTATACTACACTTACAATATTTAAAGGGGGTCATGACTTGAACCCAAGAGACTTAATCAAATAAATAAATAATAATTCGTAAATATGACCGTTAAATATGGGTGCTTAATTGTTATATTTTATTTTAGTACTTTAAAGTCAAAGAAGGTATTTGTAAGCGACATATTATTAAACCTAGAAATTTACAAAAAAAGTACATAATTTTGCATTGAGGTTTTGTACAAGCAACATGTAAGAAATAGTATTTTAAAGTTTCTACTGGATGCTTTACTTTTTAGCTTTAATAAAAAAAGTATTATAATTGAAATCATGTAATTGCATCATCAAGCCACAAAAACAAATGGACACGAGAACGCTTATATTTTTTATACGACACAAATGTGTTGTGCCACTAGCGGTGACAGCTGAAATAATGAGGCATATTAAATTTAACATAATAAAGCGGACCGGCTGTAAACTGATCATGTAATTGGTTAGAAAACTTTAATTGGCTGTAATGTGTTCTTATAAATCAATTAATACGAAATGTTTCTGGTTACATTTTGACTCCTCTACAACGGCACTGGACAGAACCATTCATAAATCTTAGTACAAATGTAATAAATACAATTCAATTTACTCTCGGATCTCATGTTGTACTACATCGTTGATTCATTATAATAAACAATAACGTGTCACTTAATTTCGTTTGGGAAATGCTTTATTTTATAATGTTTATTTGAATATAACCATTTTTTTTTTTACAAAATATTTTATCTTTATAGTAATAACTAAATTTGACTAAAATGAATATAAAACATGCAATTTCATAACAATATCAAATACGTCAATCTAATCTAATAACGAAGTAGTAAAGTGATTAATGTTTAATATTGGTACAGAAGACTTGACAAATGAAATGGAATGGCATTTAAAAGTTTTATAAACTCTACTCCTTTAAATAAAGTCACCAGTGAACGAGAAAATATTTCGTGAATAAATTAGATTTAAAATATTTAGAATACCGAATATATCTGTAAAAAGATTTTGTTACTCCATAAAAATATAAATCACATACTATAACGTGTAAATAGGTTCTTTTAATTTTCTCAAGTTTGATTATCTTTAAACCATTAACTAGGCACTTATAATTTAATTAATTAATCTTTATATCACATCAAAGTTGACAAATGTTTAGAGAAGATAAGTTTCCAACAACGTTTTCTATCAATGTTTACTTTATAATCTTTTGAGTAATTTACAACATACCAATATTACGGGTAATTATACTTACATATAAAAAGACGAGAAGTAGACCGGAAATTTTCATCTTGCTCTTTGTCTCACTATCACAATTAGACTTTAGTTAGCTCTATTCACCTTTATTAATTCACACATTTATTTCAAAACACTTTTTACAATTCACTCTTGATTAAATAATATTGATTTAAGAAACTTTAAGTATTTTTTAAAAAAGATTTTATTTAAATATCATTTGCGTAATATTTTCCTCACCTTTATTAGAATAAACGTAAGAAAAATTGCGTGAAAATTTAGCTAAACTGCCACGCAATGATTCTTCATGATAAATTATATAGAGTAGAATAAAATAATAATAACATAAACAAATACTGTCTAATAAAATTGAAACCCTCAAAAAAATAGCATACTCATTCTAAAAAAGTTACAACACATCTGCAATTTCTTTGCAAAATTTTTGCGTGTGTCTACGGGCGGCGGTAATCACTTACCATCAGGTATACCGCATGCTTTATAAACAAAAAAAAAAATAGAAACCTTCTCCCTTTACAAAACCACCAAAATAAAACTATTTATTTGCCTGTGCCTAACATTCTTATGCGGATATTGAGAAAAGAAACCCAGAAGCGACCGACTAAAGTGGGTTATTATCGTCACTGAAAATACATGTCAAAGAATAATTATTTTGATTTATTATTAAATTCAATAGTCGTTATTATTTAGCACCATAGTCACTTTAATTATATTGTATAAAAAATTAAATTAAATTATCACAGCAAAAAAATTTATTACGTAAATCGAATTAATTTGCGCAAAGGCTGATACCAAAGGAACAGGCCAAGTAACCGTCACAGATATTTAACCAAAGCAGTTTATAAACGCCAAATACCTACTACGAGTGTTAAAGATTATTGTTGATGGTCTCATATGTAGTGCCAACATTACAACCCGCTTTGATCTTTCACATGAATTAAATTTAAAGGAGTATTGGATAAATCCCCCTTGATATCTTTATAGTATAACTACCAGTAACTTTAACTCAACGTGAACATTTTGTATTGAGTAAAAAGGATTATAGAATTTGCATTTGTCAAATTTATTGCTATATGTATATAAGCTTTACGCATTAGACCTTAAAATTGCGTAACCTGGCTTGTATCATATATCAAGATTAGAATAAAGATGCCTAACCGTTACCGTTATACACTTAATTGTAATTATTTTAAAGAATTAGTTACCTATTTATTATGCAACTGAATACAGGAACGGTAACATATTAAAGGCATTATAGATACAATATGTATTTCTATTCTACTGTAATATATGTGTCGTATTGTTCATGCCTATAGACAACAGTTTAAACTTTTCATGTACAATAATATATATGTCCTCAGTATTTGATTTGGATCTAAATGAGCTTAGTAGTAGTTATAAATATGTTACAGACCTTCATTAATGTTTTGAATTGTTACATCTATAACATAAATTTGTAGCCTTAACAATAATGTTATCATACTCATACATCCAAAATAATATATACTAGATCCGGTGTTATATTATAATAAAATCGCAGAAATTATATTTTTATTTCATTAAATAACATCAATTTAATTACATTTATGACAGATGACATTAAACATCACACTAATTAAACACAGCAACACTATTAGTAATTAGTTGATTAACAATTGCATCTTACGATTGTTGGCAGGTTTAAATAGGGCAATCATGTTCAATGCTTATATTGCAACAGTTGTAAAACTGTCCATCCTTCAGATGGCATCATAAAATAGAAGTGCAACGATGTCACACGTGAGCAGAAATGTTATCGGCATTTCACAAGAAGGTAGATTTTTAATTACGACAAGACAAGAATTGAATAACGAGATATTTTATAAACATATTGGATGGACAATATTTGAAGCGTATGTGAAAAAAATTATCAAAATATGTTCAGAATTTGCAAAGTATTTACATAAATAAATTATAGACAAATTAAACTTTGTCCATTTAAAATTTGCTTTAAAATTGAACTAGTTATAAGAAT